AAGTTTCTAAATCAATTAAGAAAGAAATTCTTAAACTTAATTTCTTAATCGTCTATCTACATCAGGAGCTTCATTTCTTGATAAAACATTTTCAACAATGTGCAGTAGAGATACGAATAGCATATTCATATTTTATCTTCAATATTGTATATATAATTCAGGTATGTCGCCCAGAAGCCTGAAATATTTGAATGAAAAGTTAACTTTTTTTTACTATTATTTTAGAAACATAGTTTTCAATCAGCACAATTAAAATTCTTCCTACGGAAGTTACGATACGATCAATATTACCTTTTGTTTTGAAGCTCTAATTAATATTCCATGTTGTGCGTGGATGCGAATGTGAGTGGAGAGACAAGAAACACCCACAGTCAGGCTCAAACACATACCCATCCACACTCTCAATTTCGTACAGCCAAATCCAGATTTAGACCTCCACCTACATGAAGCCACTTCCACTTACATTAACAACTACGTGTATTCATACTGCACCTAAATAAAAGTACGGTGTTTCCCAGTCCCAATACACTTACTTGCACATCATTGAGCCACACACTGATATATAGCATAAAACGCTCACCAAAACGTTCCCGCCCTCGAGGTAGTTCTCTCATGAAATACTCTTTACACGCTCTTCCATTCTTACTGATGCTACAAGAGGTGACCTGGTATGATGTGCAAGTGAACTGACTAATCTTATCTCCCACTGCCTCACACTATCCTTCAAACGGTACAAAACCCTGCATGCAGATACTGTAAGTAAGCGAGCAGCAGAACGTTGACTAAGCTAAGTGAGAAAGAGAACATATGGGATGAATTGAATATTGTTAGCAACTATTTAGTTTTACAGCATGTAATCAAGCAAAACATGATGGCAATAAAATGCTTTGTGTTCTTTATTCTCAGGTAACTAAAACATTTTGTTTTTGGCTTGTCCTGTTATTTCGAACAATTTATCTTTTTCTCATCACAGATAAGATCATGATATTTTGTGTATACTTGAAAGAAGTAATTTTATCTACAATCACCGTGCAGTGTATCACGAGCATATTATAACCAATCTCAATATGATCTGTTCTCGACGAATCCGAATTGTGGCTGTGTGCAGTTTGTACCCACCTTCAGTTTCGGTATTTGTGTGCTTCTCAGTGCTCCTTGCTCTCAGCTGGTGTCGTGTGCAGTTCCGAACAATGCATGTTATCAACCTGCTCATATTTGTGTAAATCATCCAGATTGTAATGATCTGCCTGTTTGCTATCTACTGTTGATGGCCACACGAGAAATATGTTCGTCCATACTATATCCCACAAGTAAGGGACTCAATCGAATATTTGAAGAATACAACATATGGTTGCGCTTATATTTTCCTGATAGAGTACTTTGTTTTTAATTTTTGTCCATTGTTTAATTTGATTTTTACTTCTCTATCGATGGCACGTGGTGAGATTTGTTAGGCTGCCACATGAAACCAATCGATAGCATGCACTAGAAGACAATAGTCATGGTTTTCTGGAAGAAAATAATTATCTTCAGTTAGTTTTTGCTATGTGTACAGGCGAACGTGAACAAGCTAGCTTTAACTGATGTTGAGTGTCAAACCAGGATTAACAGTCCTTGAGCCCATGGAAGATGACACTCTGCTGCCTTCTTCTTCATCATGGATGGGTGATTTTGGTTTTGATGTCGTAGATAAAGCGATTTGTCTAGTAATGTAGCAAAATTAATTGCCTTCTTGAATAGAATTTGCAATGGACGCTATTGAATAAGTTCGGCAAGCTGCCAATATGTCAGAGCCAATTAAATACGCACAAGAAAGATAGAGGGCTAACATTACTAAGCATTGCTATATATTTTATTTTACATCTGAGTACCAGGAAAAAATAAGAAAACCACGTATCCATACATGGTCTCCATAAGCATTCGATGCTGCCCACGTCAAGCGTTTGTGATTCAGGATTTTACATGTATATGTTGTGATTGATTCTGAAAAGTGGTGGCAGAAATCAATAGATACTACACTACTTTGAAAAGTATGCATAGGCAATAAATAGTGAAGGATTTGCGATAAAATGTAACCACTCAAAGAGTCACTAGGTACTGTTTCGAAAAGGCGAAAAGCTACATGTGAGACTCCTGTGGAGTAGAAAACGTAACAAGAGAAAAACTGCTTGCTAAGAAATCATATTGACCTCTTCTCTACAGCGTACATTATCAGGAAAATATACGCAGTCATATTTATGATTTTCTCCACGACATTGTCAAGTTGTACCACATACTGATCCTAATCGAGTTCATCCCGCAGCTCGTATCTTACCAATTTCGGGCAAAAATTCGAAGAGAGGTTCGAGAATGGGTGTTGGGTTTTTCTTTTCCACACCAATACTACGACTGTTCAGGGGACATCCAACAGACTCTATCTCATAGTAGGATTCTGTGAACCCGAAAGTGCTGGAATCTAGCAGCATGTGGAGAGATCTTCTCAGCATTTTTCAGCTTCGTATTATCAGATAGGTTAGTATTTCTCCGTGCAGAAATTCTCGTCTTTGGTTCTTACAAATCGTTCTGGCCTTCTCATAGAATGCTACTTATTAGATCTACTAACGAAGCAGATAACAGTTAGACGCCGAATCCAACCGAGTTTTATTGCTTCGAGTTCCGGTGAGTTCGTTTTTGGTTTCTGATATAAAACAATCGATCAAACGTCGTTTATTCCTTGTGCAAAACATTGTGATTTTACAAAAAGGTGACACCGAAATCAATCATTATTCTTATACGTTTGTCTGCATTTTTCTCACTTTTCCAAAAACCAGTTTGGGTTCGATTCGATTTCAGTCTCTGATATGAGATTCCTGGAAGTTCTTCTCTTCGAAATACTTTCTCGATTTTCAGGACGATAAATACCAACCCCTTCGACAGCTTGTAGAATGCCAGAAGAAATATCTTAAAGAAACCCTAAATAAACTCCTAAGTTTTCCAGAAACCGGTACACCAGAACTACTGTATTCGTCTTCGGGAGTCCAAACAAGTTTTATCCTGTAATTCTATCCACAAGTTTCAGTAGACTTTAGCTGAAAGCGGCATTCTACGAACAAATATACAGTCGGTTTCCAGCAATATCATCATAGAATGGTGCAAGTATTTTTTGCTTTCCAATTGCAACCAAATTCATTGTTTAGCATTCTTCGAGTCATCGTCGCTGGTTCCTAGACATCTTTCCGGCATTTCAGTTAAATGCTTAGAAGCGAACCTTGTCAAAAACTTGACAAGAGCTCCCTCAAACCAGTACTAATTTTCACCAGCCAAAATTGTGCTTGCGAACTTACAAATAGAAGCCTCCCCTAGCTTTTGTCGAAACTCAGGAGTAGCATCGTGAGAGATCCTTACACAAGTTCTCTGTTTTTCAATAAAACTTCAAATCAAGAATAGCATCTGTGTAGCTCGCCTTCCAGAAATACTGAAGAGTGGTATCCTTCACGTAAGATTCAGCAGAATTTAGCTGAAAGTAGAATTATCTTGATCGTTAAGCGTTTCGAATCTAGCAAAATCCTAACAAATGGTTCCTAGCGTGTATTACTTTTCTATTTTCCTATTTCGTATTAGTGAAGCTGTGGATATGGGTGTGTGGTGTGGGCGTTGGTCTTTTATTCACAGATACCCACACCGATCCAAAAACTGGTGGAGGCTACTTTAAAGAAAATCCGACAATAGATAGATTAGTCAGTGAGTAAGAGTTGGCTGAAAAGAAGATCCATCCATTCAAATCTGTGTCGATTCTTCATCCACCTGCACTCCGACCCATACTCTTACTGCCATTCACTCACTAAAGTCGTATTTAAGATAGTTCGGTCATTGGATTTTCGAGTAAAAGTTCTGTGAATATAAATGTTACAAACGACCGAACTTTGGCTTTCAGAAGGTCATTAGTGTTGGCTACTATTTAAGCGGGCAGTAAAATAAATTAAATGATCAGTAAAATAGATGAAATGGTCAGTAAGATAAATGGTCAGTAAAAAGTATATAAATGATCAGTAAAAAGATTGAATGGTCAGTACTTAGACTATCACTCATATAAAAAAAAGATTGGAAAAAATCTAATTTTAATCGATTTTTTAAATCAAACCAGTGATTAAAATAAATTAAATTTATAAATATTAATTTTAATGGTCCCGACGGTAAAATGCGTTTTCTCAAACTTTATGTTGAAAACTCAGATGTTCGATCGCTTTTTCAGACTCCTTGCCTCGGAAAATTAGTAGATATGATGCTAGATCGACCTTTGACATAAATTCCATGCTTCAAGACTCGATATTAATTGGTACTTATTCATTTAAAAAGAAAAACTATTAGAATTGATTAAAATCGATTTAAAAATTTTAATCGATTTTAATAGATTAAAAAAACGAATAATCTGACTAAAATTGAGTAAAATAGTCAATGAAAAAATTTTAATCGGTTAAAATGGATATTTATAAATTTAATTTATTTTAATCACTAGTTTGATTAAAAATCTGGTTAAAACTGTCCCATTTTAATCGATTTTTAATCACAAAAAAATCGATTAAAATCAGATTTTTTCCAATCTTTTCTTTTATATGAGTGATAATCTAAGTACTGACCATTTAATCTTTTTACTGATCATTTATACATTTTTTACTGACCATTTATCTTACTGATCATTTCATATATTTTACTGACCATTTCATTTATTTTACTGACCGCTTAATAATATCCCATTAGTGTTGTGCTGATAACTTTTGTGGGTGTCAACCGATAGAGAATACATTAGTGCTTCAGATTAGGGTAACTTAGATTTGAATACATCAAAAATATCAGCCCTGAATAATAATTATTATTATATGAGTTTCGGAAAAGGACAGGCGACATGTTTTATTGTTCAGAATTGTATGTTTTTTCGAGCAAATAAAGAATATGAAACAAAAGAAATGTTTTGTAAGAAACGTTCGATGAGCTATCTTATGATTGAAGTGAAATACAAATTAATTATTGAAAAAGTATTGTTTTCGTAAGAATGTTTTCATTAACAAAAAAAAACGTTATCAATCATTGATACAGGTTGCTTCTGCTTGTTGTTTTTATCGAATAAAAACTCTAAATTGAGTTTGACTGAAACTTCCTCCTCCAAACGCCATTCGTAACCGAAATCCTATTCTATAAGTACTACCAACTGTGGCCGGAAAAGATTGACCAAGATAAACAAGTGCACCACTACCGGTATCTGGACAATCGACCAAAAAGCAGTTAGCCGTGGATAAATAGCAGTTGGTACCCCAAGTGACCGCAGCACCACCACCAGCACTGCAAGTATAATTACACCATACTACCCAACCGTTTGGTATTGTTGTTGAACTCTCAAAACTTGGATTGTTGAGCAATTGGATAGATGGTGCAGTAGTTAATGTAACAGAGACATCATCTAAAAAATAGTTGCTATTCAAATCAGTAGCAAAAGAAAATATGAGAATCGGTGATGTGGTCATTGCTACATATGTATAGTTGTATCCAGTCCAAACTGAAGGACTTGTTCCACTTTGAGATGCCAGAGCTCCGGAACTCAGACTGTTCCCACCGCTGCACACTAAGATAAAATGTGTCGCATGTGTCGCACTTTGCGACACAATGTACGACACATTGATATGCGACACGAGGAGCTCGTTGCGACACATTTCTTCCAGCGGACGTACGACACATTCTTGTGCGACACATGCGACACATTTTTACCACGTGGTTCGAATCCATTTTTCGGCACGAGGATTATTTTTTTTTGAAAATTCGAATAGTTACTATTCTTTCAGTTAATTTCAAACAGTAGCACCTATTCTTGGAGTTCGAGACGGTAGATCTTAAGATCTAGCTGCCTCGAGACCATTTGATCTCGATCAGACTACTTCGAGGCAGTCCATTCTCGATCATCTAGCGACCTCTCGATATGTTCTCGAATAACAAATGGTCGAGAAATAATCTAGAAAAAAAAGACATACGAAAATGTATAAGTCAAGTACGTCCAATAGGCTCGCTTATATGCGGCTGCACTCGCGAAACAAATCGGTGAATGAACGATTGACATATAGGCTATGACACATCTATAATGCGACACATTCTTGTACGACACATTTTTGTAATGGAGTCTGCGACACATTTTTGTGCGACACATATATACGACACATTTTATTTTAGTGTGTGCATGTCGTTACTATAATAAAGTCATCAGATAAGCAATGTTAATATAGTAATTTTTACTTGTCGTGGTTGTAAAAGTTATCGATGTAGTCGCTACAAAAAATAAAAGTTATGTATAGCTACATATCATTGAATATTAATTCGAATTTTAAATATATTATCAGAGAGTATTTGATTAGAATTAGTATTACGTCTTGTTAGAAGCAGTAGTAGCAAACTGGAAAGTCGAATTAGTATTTTAAGTAATTTGAATTCACATTTCAACTTTTTACATATATGTCTCATTGAAGAATATGCTACAAGCTAGTCTGTATTATTTGTTCATTAATAATCCATTAAAAAGTGTACACTTTTAGTCGATTAAAAATCGATTATTTCGCGATTATGAGATGGATTTTGTTTACATAGGTAGTAGTTAAAGTTTTTTTTCTTCTCTTCAACAGGTTTTCAACATAAAGAATATGATTACTATGCTTTAAAAAATTTTCATCACATGTCTACGGAATCAATTTTCTCTTATAATCTTAGGATAAAAACCGAGGTAAGGTTTAGTTAAATCAACAATGAAATTTTCGACCCCATATTTGAGTAGAATGAACGTCTATATGAAACGATTGCATTCAATAATTCATCTGATATGAGAGTAAAAAGCAAACTGAATAATAATTTTGATGTATGAAATAATCAGCGTTTAACATATATAACTTGAGATTTGTGTGCTAGAAAAAGTGAGTCACAAAAATTGCAAAAAAAGCAAATTATATGTGGATACTTTCTCGAAGAAGTAGCAAGCAAACCAAAGCTTCTCGGCAGCAAATGAATCACATTAACAATCACTTCTATACCATGGATTTCGCACAGAACTATGCAAGCAAATTAAGACCCCTCTACCATCAAAAAACGACCTCTGCCCAGGAACGTTGAAATGACATGAAATTTTCAGAATATGTTGGGGTTGGTGTGGAAAGGCTATGATAAAGTTTTCAGCCCGATATCATACTTGTTTGGCGAGATGCCAGCTAAACAAGGGTCAAAAATAGCTCATTCAGCAAACTAAATTTCTCAGTCCAGGTCCGTGTGATGTTTTGAAATTTTTTTTTTTGTTTGAAAGAGCATGTCAGGATGCAGTGCAGCACAGAGCTCTTTTTTTAAATATTTCCTTTTTTAGGGAAAAAATGTGATCAAAAGTTCAACGACTCAAAAAATTCTTAAAAAATGGGTATCGAGTTATATAAGTGTCTGCATATATAATAAAAGAAACCTAATTAAAAAGGCGCTCTGTATTGCACTGTGTCTTGACACGCTCTTTCGAACAAAAACAAATAAATGCATTGAATGAGTATCGACAGAGAAATTTGATTTGCGCGTTCGGGATACCGTGAACCGAGAAAAGACGAAAAAGATTTTTTGATTTTTCAAAACACCGCTGATTTTTCGAATAGGGATCTTCAAAAATCTTGAAAATTTTTTGGAAAAAATCAGATATGAAAGAGAAGCTTTTATCATGCATGAAAGAGCAAATGACGGGCTATTCCCCACGTATTTATCTCAATTGTGACCATTCGAACGAAAACTGACTTTTTAAAAAGGGGGAGGGGGGAGGGGGAAGGCTTAAGACATAAACGCTACTCACTTGAGCTAGTTGTTGTAGTAGTTTTTGATATCGTTGAAGTAGTTGCCGATGTCGAAGTTGTAGTGGAAGTTGTGGCTGTTTCAAAATAGATCGTGCACCGTTCGATTTTCGAAAGACTAACTTACTTGATGAGCTTGAAGTTGTGCTTCGCGTGGTTGTGCTCGTTGACGAACTAGAGCTCGTAGTAGTTGATGAACTAGAGCTCGTAGTAGTCGATGAACTAGAGCTCGTAGTAGTCGATGAAGTACTGCTCGTTGAAGTAGTCTCCGTACTGCTCGTTGAACTTGTACCTACAATTATGAATAAAATTCTGCAGGCGCGACAACAATAGCAGATCAAAAGCACGTAGGCTAATTTCAACGCTGATGCCTATTTACTCTGCTCAGATTCTCAATTGTGCATATCTCCCTGTGTTTCTATCCATGCATAACGATCAGGATGTGGATATGGGTATGGATGAAAATCATCTCGTAATTAGTACCCATGTCCAAAGATTATTGAACACTTTTCTCTAGCGATGTGAAATAGCACGTAAGTAATACCAATGCTTAAGTAATTCTAAAACTCTGTCGATCCTAACTAATCAAATTATGGATGTGGGTGTGAGGGTGTCTATGAATGATTTCTCTTCACACTCACGCCACATTTAGCGTATGATACATTCAAAGAGTATCCTCAGAAACTGGATTAAGTGCCTGTAGAAG